GCGCCATCTACCAAAACTAAACGAAACTAACAACTAACAGTGTTGCGTATACTAGACTTACGACTGTCCACACTTTGGCAACTAGCTCAGTTATATAACTTTTTTGGCAACTAAGACCTTCATGGCAATAGTTTTGAAAGCCAATATACTCGGTTCCCATACACTGAACCCCAAAGAATTGCAGTTGACTTTCGCAGACTTGGCCAAGGTACGCGCGTATGATTTGTCGTTGCTATCAATTTCTAAGCATTTTAGCCGAAAAACCAACCCCCCAAAATTGGAGAATCGTCGGTAGAGCTGGCGCTCAAACGGGCGGGGAAAAGCTAAGAAAACGACCGGAAAAGTGCAAACACACGCGAAACTGTCGTCGCGCTGCGATGGGGGCTTGGCTTGCCTAGCCCTCACCCGACTTGGTCTGGCCTGACGCGTGCACAAGCCCAATAAAAACGTTTTGATAGGCTTATGGCCGGGTTCTATTCCAGCTACTACTGCCAGGAGACTAGCCCGATATTATATCAAATTTACTCGCTAACTGTTATAAGCAAGTCGTGATAAGGATTCACAGGCCGGCAAACAGCATAAAATCAATAAGCGCGGAGACACTACCAAAGGCTTGGCTTTAAGGCGCTTAAGTTATTATCATGGAAGAGCAAAAATACAGCTTGAAAATTATTGATTTATCAAGATGATTTAACACGTAAAAGCCATCTCAAAGTCAGTCAATACATATCGAAACCATAGTATAATCTCTCTGCATTTCTACCGTTCTAGCATCTCTCAATCCTCTATGACACTGATCAGCTAGCCATAATCTCGTCACTCCAACAATCGCAAATGACTTCACGTCGTCGTCAAAAGTATTACCAATGTCTGAGCGGCTGAACGGGCGCAGTAGTTCAAATACTTTCAAGTACGACTTTAGTTGACTTTTCATGCTCTTCATGGTCAATAAAAACAAAAAAGAAGGATGATAATAACAGCCATATATATGACACATCCAGTAACCAATCTAATGATTATATCTCTTAGCCGGTTTCATGGTAACTCAAAAAGAGCTACCTTTCGACCTTCGATGGGCCGCTCGAAGCTAAGCAATAGCAATAGAGAATAAACATAGAATGTTTCGGTACTTTCTGAGGATTTCAGACTCCTCCACTACAAAAGGATCCAAGTTACATCAAATTAGTCCATAGTAAATAGGCCAACTCAAATAAAGACCCAGTACGGAAACAGTATTTGATAAAATTGTGAGCCACAAAGATCTCGATATCGATGACAAATAAGATCACCTTCCGATACCTGCCCACCTGTTAATCTCAGAGTTTCCATTTATAAGTTAACAACCGTCGCTCACGACCGATTGCATCACATTCAATAGTTATCTGGACAGTTTCTTAGTAAATACTGCTCTTTCAACCCACACTAGGGTTGCATTTAGGCAATATGCCATTTCAATTACAAGATTTCAAACTCCAGTCTCACCCTTGGGGTCATCAACAAATAGACGACGAACTAATCCATATTGAATAAGAAAGAATAATTTTCTAAAGAAATTCGTTTAATAAATAACTCCTTCGACGATTACTATAGTGGACGAACTCAAGTTGTCCTAACTTGACAGACTATGGTCGATACCAAATAAAAAAAAAAAAAACAGCAAGGCGTGCCATTCTTGCTGAATGCATCTGTACACGCAGTCGTTCAACTTCTACCAGTCACTTATTGACTTCGAGGTTTCCATTTTAATAGACTCGTAAATTCTGCATCGATACTCTTTGGCAAATGAATTTAAAAATGAAGAACTAAATTTTTTTTTTTTTAAGAAAATACTGCTCCCCCAACCCTCACTAACAGAGTCGGTTGCATCCTCAGTATGTAAATGTAAGTACTAATATTTATTCCAGTACATTTTTTTCAGTCCAAGTATAGCCGAGCATTGACAATTTTTCAGTCTTAGATAAGCAAATACGGACTGCGCAATATTCAGCAAATACAAATACCAGCTCACTTTTAGCCAAATATTATTTTTGCCCATATGCATTCGCCTTTATGAAAATCCGAGATTGCGTCATAGCTGAGCTGAACGCTGTTTAGCTTTCTTGTGTTTCGTTTAAACAGCAAATGGAAATTCAGTGAGGCGCGCTCTCCTGATGTCCACGTCCCTTCCTGCCGTCTCAACCCTTATCTTGCTTCAATCTGACCTGCGGCCAGAGGCGAACTCAATCGCAAAATGTTTGAGCAACGGCAAATCAGTCAAATAAAAAATGAAGGAGATGATGAGCGTCGAGAGGAAAAAGGCGAATACATTGGCAAAAATCAATTTTCAATTTAAAATTTAGATGCCACGCCCCCTGCAGCCCAGGCACTCAGTCAAGCTGCCAGATAAAAAGTGCGTTCGAGCGCAAAATGTAAATAGAAACGAAAGTTTACCCCAATGGAGGGCACAGCTACAGGTTGCATCATATGCCCCTGGGGAGCACAGGGTGGCGGGTAGACAATCTCAAATCAAATATTGCCGCATAAATCGGGCGGGAAATAAAGTTTGCTTTGCGGCCAGTGGAAATGTGGAAATTTGTTATTTGTGCACTGGGCCGCTGCGTATTTCTTTCTTCTCTTCCTGCGAGCTCTTTGATTTTTATCGCTCTTGCCGACTTTTTTTTTTACGAGCTCAATGGCATTCTTGAGATTACAACGGAATCACGCACCCGAGTCACTCGAGCCCGGGGAGAACCAAATCTCACAATTCTTATGCCGGCTACTTTTGCAAATAAATTTTATTTTGGAGTCAGCGTCTTCGCGACCGATCCAGATGACTCCTAAGGATGACATTTACTATCCATACATCACAACAAGATCTTTTGTAAGAATAAAGTATTTTTCTCCTACTAAAATGTTATATTTTGCACCTTTGCTCATGGCAAACACAAAGAAAAGAATTTGATTTTCTTTTTTAATAATTTGGTTTATGAAAATACTGCTCCTCCAACCCCCACTAGGGTTACATCCGAAATATAGATCGCACAGAAGCGACTATTTAAATGGTAATAGCCATTACCAAGAAAGGATCTCCAATACTTTAACAACGTTAGAGGATCCCACACCTATCTCCAATAACACATCAAATCCGTTATCCGCCCAACTGGCGCACAATGGGAAATTGTCTTTGAATACGTTACTAATTTGCATAGTTGTTTGTTAATAAATACTGCTCCTTCAACCCACACTAGGGTTACATTTCAAACTCCAGCCTCACCCTTGGGGTCATCAACAAATAGACGACGAACTACTCCATTTTGAATAAGAAAGAATCTTTTAAAGAAATTCGTTTAATAAATAACTCCTCCGACGATTACTATATAGACATTTCCCCGAGATCTCATAAGCCTATGCTCAGGGATTATTAGTACATAACAAAATCGAAATTATTGTAATACAAGCGAAATACGTCTTATCGATGGCAAGCAACATAGAAATACGTGAAAATATGTACATGCCGTCGTTCACATCATATCATTGCAAAGGATTTTGCCCCTACTGGAGCACGATAATATGATGAACTAATTCATTCGCTTGCATAAATTCAATAATGTTTCATTAATTGAAGGCAGCCTACGACTTCGTCGTCGACACAAAGGCAAACTGAGCAGTGGGGGCGTACGGGGCCGACCTGGCGTTTGAGTTTGCTTCCCACTTTATTGCAAAGCTCTTGCGAAAATTAATTCATTAGCATTTTATTACGCACCGGCTCGGTGACGTAGCTGCCACTGCCAGAAGACGTCCCGCCACGTATTCTCCATCTCTCCCGTCTTGCATTATCTTTGCCTTTGTTTTCATTTGCCATCACTTTGATGTGTAATTAAATCAATAAACACTTTGAAGCGTGCATCAGCTCTCAGGTTATTGCCTGCATGCTGATGTAAAGGCAAAAGGAGTTTGGTCGACATGCTAGTTGTCAGAGACCTTGCATGCTCTTAAATAGTTAACACACATACACCCACATCACAACTCGCTACTTGAATGCCTCATCCTGCCCCCAACTGGTGCAGGATGATATACCCTCACGGCAGCATTATATCCTCCTAAACAGAGAGAACAAGCTAACCCGACGGGCAATCCAATGGGAAATAATGGACGAGTCATCACAATGCCAGACAAAATTAGCAATAGATCGAGATCAGAAAAAATAATTTCTTGTAATTTGTATACGAAGTTAAACATTGAAAATTCAAAAATGCCATTTAAATAAATCCATCTTCCAAGCTAATATTGTATGTGTCTACACCCGCGCTATCCTTTGCGCCATCGTATCGCATTACACACTCGAACAAATGCCTCCCGTGTGTATCAATACTCAGCTGTTGCTTCTGGCCGCCCGTGGCACGGCCCTTATCGGCTGCTTATCATTGGCAACATGCAACATAAAACAATAAATATTTTATGGCCTTTTTGCCAAGCGCATAAATCTCATGAAATTGATACTCATACGTGTGTGTGAGTTCTGAGATGGCGCTGCCGCTGCCGTTGCTGCTTCCTCCTCTCTTTAGTTCCTGAGAACTTGGAGGATAACAAGATTCAAGAAGCATCGCACATTGACACACTGAGTGGGAGATTGTTCGCACAAATACATTTGCGAAAATGTTTCATTTTCTCCCCTCTTCGCACTGCTTGTGGGAATTCACCCATTCACCTTTAACAGCGTCCGTGTTTTCCGCCCTTGCAGGATTAGCACACTGGGCGTCTTTAGCAGGCCGCATTATAGATTTGTTTACCAGCGACTTTCTTAAAGCACTCTCGGGCAGTCGTCGCATTTCAAGAATGCGTGTTCAAGGGGCTTAATATATGAAGCTCCCAAGCTTCATATAAACAACTCTATTATGGAATTCAATATTTTACAACCGTTCCATAGAGCTTCTCCCCCATCCAAGTGTTTTATCAGGCACACAGAACCTTAAAAGCCGACCAGCGGCCAAATCAAAATAAAACTTTGTTCAGCAACAAAAAAAATTATATTATTTAAAAAAAATAACTTTATATATGAAAAAAAAAATATTATCTTCTTGAGACTAAAAAAGAAGACGTGTTTGCGGCAAAAGCCGAAACAAAAGTGATTGTCTGCCTGCTGGCTGCTCTCCTTATATACCTTTTCTACGGCGACCCAAAGCCTACTGCGTTGTAATTAAAAGGGAAATTTGTTTAAATTTCCCTTTTGAAGTGCCTTTTAGTATAAAATACTTCCCTTTTACCTAATGACGATATGAATGTGCTATATTGATATTAATATCGCATGAAATAGCTTGATCATTAATCATTTCGGTAAAATATTTAACTTGCTTATAGCTTACATGTATATTTGCATACAAATTGCAGTCGTTGCTTTTCCGTGCACACAAGTTCCATAAATTTTTAGATTCTTCTAGAAAACTGAAAGTTCTAGCAAAGGGAAATTTGGCGTTTTTTAGTGCTAAAACTAAGTAGAGTTTAAAAAATAAACGAAACAGCTGCTGTCATTAATTAATTATTGTTAGATATAACACATTTTACTTTCTCAAAGACTGTTTTCTAATACATAGCATGTCTACCAGCATGCGTTACTACAATGCTCCAAAATAGTAAAACACAAACAAGCCGAAGAAGAAGAAAAAGAGAAGCAAACAAACCTTTGTTACATTTAATGCCCAATTAACGCATTTGCCACTTAAAACTCAGCCAAGCACAAAATGTGTAAGCTTTAAAGAAAGCGAGAGCGAGAGCGACAGGAGGGAGCGAATGCCAAAGGCAAAACGTGCCACAAAGCACAAAAGGTTATAGAGCAGCAGAGGGTCTGCGCCTCTCTATCGTCGCACCCACAAGCCCAGAGTACTCCGTGACTTTGCCCACAAGAAAACGACTGTTTGACTGCAGTTTGGCAAAGGATGAGTGAGACAGCGAGAGAGAGCCAGGCAGAGAGAGCGAGAGTGAGAGTGGGTGGCAGCAGCTCTGTGGAGCTGCACTTCATTAACAACAGAACGCGAACAGCGTGAAGAGGTGGGTGAGCGATGAGCGGCTGGCGGTGAATGTAGCGGTAACTTTGTCGTTAGGCGACTTATGACTCCTGCAATTACAAATACAAACGCGCAAAAAGAAACAACTCAAAATGAGTGATGTAATGCGCATAACGGTACCTGCAGCTGCCCGCCCGCTGCTAGTGCTCTATATTTCTGTCACTCATTGTTGCTTGTTGACATAACGAATACCTTAACATCGCTTTTTGTACCCTGTAGCCATCAAGAATTTGTTTAACTGGGGTATAATGGTTTGCTGTAAATGTTTTTATGACTACATATATCTAAACATTTTACAGTTGATATAATCGCCGGCCTGCTCATCTGTAAGCTTGTCCTATCACAGGTTTACTCTTGTTTATCTCAGAGGGTGTAGGCCGAAGCGCTCCGCTACATGGTATCATTGAGTCGTTACCTCTGTGCGCCTCCACTCTTGTTATTTTTATTTCGTTTTTTATTTTTGAGTGGTTGCTCCTGCATAACCCCCTCGACCCCTTGGTGTGTGCACTTCCGCTCCACTTATACGCATAGCTCGCACTGCGCTGCCGTCGAGCGGTTTGTCGAGTTAATGACACTGGCAGCTGGAGTCGTCATATCGTTATCCCGCCGCCCTCCCAGGGCACCCGTTCCGCTTGTCCCGCTGCCAATGCCGTCGAGGCGTGCAAAAATCATTTTTCTCGCACATTTTTTTACAGCCCCCTTCAGTAACATTTTATTTATATTTTTCATTTTTCACTTTTCACATTCCTCGTAGCGACAGTAAAAATTGCCTATAATTGTATGTACGTAGGGAATCCAAGGTGTGTGTGCGTGTGTGTGCATGCGTGTGTGTTGCCTGCCTAGCATTTTTTGTTCGGCTTCTGCAGTTGACAGTTAATTATTTGTATAAATAGGCGCAGATGTTGCCAGTGCTGAAGGGTTCAATCGATTATCTGACAACTGCGCCAGCTCCTATTGTTGAGTAAATCCATTTCATAATAGAATTTCCTAGATATCATTAAAAAATACAGATAAACATTTGTGGGACCTTCAAGGCAATGTTGTAGGGTTCGAATTTTCTATCCAAGCAAAGCATTTGGTACTACGCAGATAATAATATTCCTATTAGTTTTTTATATTTAAAACATTTTATTTGAAGTATGTATATTTAAAAGAAATATTATATTTAATATATTTGATTCTTATAAATATGCTTAAGGTAAATACTAATAAAATATATTATACTAACTATTATAAATTATTGCGCTATTGTCAAGTATTCATTTACTTAGTCTATTATCATAATTATTATAATAATATCGTTTCTATATTTATTCACATTTTCGCACAAAGTCACTAAGCCGTACTTCTTAACAATTTTGAAAGACAACTGAATTTCCTTACCAATTTGAAAGCCTTGCCAGGGTAGAAAAAATGTCTCTTTATTTTTGTCTCTTATATTTTGTGAGCCATCAGCAAAGTAAAGTTTAGAACCAACTTAAACTAGGTCAACAGGATTTCATTTATTTTTTTGTGTACTTTGATAAGACGCACAGTTCAAGTTAATTTCTGAAACTTTCATCGACAAATAAAATGCCAAGAGTTTTAGTCAATATACATATTTTTTTCTGTAAAGTCTTACATCAGGACATTTTATCAAGTCTCTTAACTCAGCTCTCAACTCTTTGCACAGCCAACACAAAAAAGGAGCAAAAACTTTGTAACTAAGTCAATTTCTCGTAAGCATTTTGTCAGTTGCCATTTGTTTGTTGGGTCGGCATATCGCCATGGGCGTTTACATGGCATGGGTGTGGCATGGGAAGGGGCTCCATTCATGGGCCCCATTTGCCAGCAATTGTTTGTGGCTTGCGGTGGCGGCTGCTGTCAATCCCCTGGGTCAAATTAAAAATGCAAAATGTCATGAAATCGAGTGGCTTTTGCAGCGCTTTGATTGGTTCGAGCTATTTGGCTATTTGCAATTTTCAATTGCTCAACCACAAAGTAAATAATACAAAAAGCTCAATCAATGGACTGAAAACAATGATATTTCGCTATCAAGCGTGCGGTTTAAGACTTATGAAATCGTGATCGTTTAGGAAGTTTGTCAAACATAATAATAACATATAGTTATTTAATATATATTAATAGGGTACAATATATTTAAATCATTGTTGCATTTATTGCATATCAACGCAACAATTTAGCGCTAGCAACAAATGTTGACAGCCCGGCTGAGCATTGATAGGCCGCTATCAGAGAAGCCAAGCTTTAGCAGCTATAATCAGAAGAAGCACAGCAATAACATGCATAAATTGATGAGCTGCTTGAATTAATGAACTGAACAATGTCGAGTATATCTATATATATATATGTATATACACATATAATATATCTATACTTATGCCTTTCATTCGTGTGCTTTGTGAGTTTGCTGCAGCTGAGTCAGCTGTAAATGTTTGCTGCATTAATGCAAAATAAGCCATATTTCGTTATTGAATAGCATTCAGCTCTGTGTAGCATGCGAGTGTGCACACTCTGATAAGCGGGCATTCAGCAACGTATTATTATTAGAGTTCACATAATTTACTCATTGAACTCGTCAAACAGTTCCATTCCATTCCATTCGATGTTTGTTAAGTCACTGTGTGTGTGTGTGTGTTTGCTTGTGTTCTGTAAATAGCTGTATTCTAATTTTAATTTTGTATGGTTTCTGAATAGACCTTAAAGCGGGTCATCTGATTATTTGTTACGGTTATTATCAGCATTTGAAAAAACAATAATCGCCTAAACATTGTGCTTAACTGAAATATTGAATTGCACTTTGACCAGGCCTAATATAAAATTCAATTGTTTTTCACTAGCTCATATGCCATATCTATTAAAATGATTCACACTTTATCAGCATTTGTTTGTTTTCATTCGCTTTGTGGGTTTATTAAGCAAATTGTAGTCAGTGTAAGTTTATATGCGAAATTATCATTGTAGTTATCTGAAATGTTTTTCCTAAAATGAATAAAAATGTAGTGAATGTCTGAAATTTAAATTCAAAATCTTCTGCTTTCAATTTTCAATTTGTGTTTTATTTGAAGTGAAGGCTTTATTGAAAATTTCAGATACTCAACCTTCTTTGTTCAATGACCAAATAGCCAATCATCTTATATTAGTCAGTGAGTAATTTGATAACTAATTTAATGCGTATTACATGTAATTAGAATTAAATATATACGCTTATCCATGAAGTGATTTGTAAGTTCGTAGGTCGCTCAATTAATCAATCAATTTATTAATCATAAAGATAGTTAGTCATCTATACAGTCAATCAGCAATTAGTCTTTCATTTAGTAAACAGTCTATTATTTAGGAAATATTCTATAAGTTAGTCAGTGAGTCATTACATCAGCATTCAATCTATTAATCTCATAGATAATCAGCAGTCAATCAGCAATCTACCGGTTTAATCTGTATGGGAATCAGCAATTACTTGATCAATCTAACAGACAATCAATCAGGCAGTCATTAAATAATTAATAATGCAGTAAGTCAGACGGTGCCATAGTGAGTAAATCTCTATAGGTAATAGCACTACTATAAATAGTGCTACACTAGAATAGACTCCAAACTTATGAAACGCCCTTTAAAAACGTTTTAATTAATTTTTGTGGAAGTGGGAGAATATTACCAAAAAGACTAATTGTGCATTTTTAAAAAGATTTTCTAAATTGATAAATTCCGAAAATATTTTGTAATTTAAAAAAAAAATAAAAACAAAATAAAATAAAATAAAAAAAAAAAAAAAAAAAAAAAAAAAAAAAAAAAAAAAAAAAAAAAAAAAAAAAAAAAAAAAAAAAAAAAAAAAAAAAAAAAAACAGAGCCGCATGGTTAGATCGATCCGCTTGTTGTTCCTGATCGGGAATATATGTGTATACCATAAGGGATCAGTCCCCATTTCTTTTTCGGCGTGCCACATACATTTGCAACAATATAAGCATACCCTGTTTAACCTCTGTGAAAATAAAATTATAAAACTTAAATAAAAATTGATTGTAATCAAATATTGTATAGTATTTGTGGCGCATTCAGAAGTCAACAATAATTACTAATAATAATTATAAATTATACAAGTGTTGTTAGATTCGGACTTTGCTTTCATAACAGACGCGAACTTAAAATGAAAATAAAACTAAAATATTGCCTTATCGTCAGTCAAATAATTCGCTTATTGGGTCAGATATGTAAACTGGTTTCGAGATATACAACACACATAGAAACGTCATAGCTATGACGTTGTGTTCAATATGCTAATTAGGTATACAAGTAAAAAAAAAAAAAAGTTAAAGGTAAAACTAAACAATCATTTAGAGACGAGATATACGAGTTTGCTGTGAAGTTCAGAGATGAGTTTTGTGTTTTGTTTTTTTTTTGGTCTGGTTGGGCAGATACAAAATGTGTGGGTCGGAAACTTGTAATTAATATAGTAACTGCTACGACAAAGTTCAAATCAAGGCAACGGAGGCAAGCCAAACACGATTCAGTCACAAATAGTCGACGGAACGAATCGCATCAACAATTCGAAAAAGTCAAGTAAACATATTTTTCTTTTATTTTGTGATTTATTTGTTGTTGTGTTGTGTACAAAGAGGTAGCTAAGGGGGAAGTATGTTTGTATTATTCATATTCATATTTATTTATGCTGCTGCTACTCGCCCGCCCGAGCAATTGGCCTGGCAACATCATAGCAGCGTCTCCCACTCGCGGCAGTGAATGACGCAGTTGACATTTACAAGCGGTTGAATGCAGAGCTCAAGAGTTCAGCTGAAATTCGCTGTCCACATTTCCACAAGTCGCGTGCGTTGGCCCAAGTCAAAGTCAAGACTTCCTCAGCATCTTTATACATGCACACATCTATATATACATATATAGCATTCTGGATGCTCTGAATTGAAGGCAACTCTAATCTGAAGCCGGACTTGTTTGCCTATCAGTGGCTGACGAAGCCGCGGGTTATCATCGAACTTGACCAATATTTGGTTTGTTTTTATTGTTTTGTTGTTGTTGCTATTGTTGTACGTTTGCCGTGAATCAATTGAAATTAGTACACACACACACACACTCACACCAGAAAAACAAACACTCTCACACATTTAAAAATATACTTAGTTATCGACATAATCGCATTTATTTTACAGTTTCCATTTCAGCGCGACGAAAGTTTCATTGGCATCGACAGTCGTCTTTTGTGCCTCGCAGCGATCACAGCACTAGAAATCGTTAATATATATTAGCTATACTTCGTATATATTTATATAYAGAAAAAATGTTATTAAAGCCGTTTGTGCTATTTATCGTGTGCCTGTGTCTGGCTCCTCAGGAGAGCCAAGCGGATTTATCATTTATCTTTGGAAATATTTCGCTATTTAATTTCAACTTTAAGACGCCAAAACTGCTGGGGCGCTCCATAACTGTAAACAGTAATGTGAAAATTGATAGCGATGTGGACCCCAATATACAAGAAGATTCGCATTTGAGTACGGTAAGTGGAAATGACAACAAAATAAAAAAAAAAAAAAAAATAATAATAAATATTGTGAAAAACCAAAAATAACAAGGGTATTAAAATGTCTGTGAAAATAATTTAATATGATCTAATTATAAAAATTAAAATGTTTTCAATTTTAATTATTTTATGTAGTCATATAATTATATACTGTTATTAAATAACATATTACACAGAAAAGCCAACCACAATGTTTACAACAAAAAAGAAATAAACCCGTTTAGTGGATTTACTTTTTTTAAGTTTTTACTTAGCTTACAGTTTAATAGATTAAAGCTGATTGTCGGGTTATTTAATTATCATTAATTAGTCATAGTAATGTAGATAATAAACCGTGCATAACTGATGATATTTACGCTTAACAGAAATTTAAATTTATCAATTTATTTGCACACTTGTATGCTCATTCACCAAAGTGAAATGAGTATATTAGTTGTTCATCTCTCTCATTCGAAGTTTAGAAATATATGTCGAAGATATTACTACCGATTGGGGACTTAAGAAAATGGGGAAATGGATCAGAATTTTATATTTGATTGCTTTTGAATAATTGTTTTTGTTTTTATTATTATTATTTTTTTTTTATGAAATTCACAATAAAATTAATATTACTAATGAAATATTAAATTTAATTAATCTGAAATATGTTAATT